ATGAGGGTAGACGAGTCACGTGGGTCGTAACGTCACGTCCGACTCAAACTACGGCGCGCGCTATCTTTAGTGTCACGCAGATTGAGTTACCGATCCGCTTGGTCGTTTCAGTCTTTAAAAACGTAAAATGACAACAATTCAAGACTCCTAGGAACGCTGGTGTGAATTTTTAACCTCTTAAAGAGAAGCTGGACTTGTATTTGCGGTAGGATGCCATACGTATTGACCATCGAAAACATTACCTGTTTCCGTTAGCAAAACATGTCAGTAAACAGACAAGCTAGCTGACGCTTTGCACTCAGTGAATTTATAACGCTAGCTTGTTGTACAAAAGTACTGGTAACGCTGTCTGCATGACATTTACGATATTTATAATACAATTAGGCAAAGCAGAGTAACTGAAGTAGGGAAAGTTGTCTATTTGTAACTGATCAGAATGGATATAAAAGGAATTTCCTTGAATAGCTAATTGGTAAGAGGGCTTGGGAGTCATTTTCAGTGATAACTTGGATGAAAAAAAATCTGTTCCCTGGACCGCAGTGCACGTCTTTCATCATGTCCCAGACCAACACTTCTCTCTTGGACGAGGTGGTGCAGTGGAGTCAGGAAACCTGTCGCCAGGAACTCAAGTCTGTCCTGCCAAAGCTCACTATATCCTCTCTAATGTTTGTTGTTTCATCCAAGTTTCAGCGTTGTAAGCTTATGGTTCATATTGTCACCTGTCTCCATTACCCTGGAAAAATAACCAAAAAATAGCATTAATCCTGTAGCTGAAATGATAAAATAGGTAGGTCGGCATTATATTGGAAATCACCCTGTAATGCATTTTTCTCCTTAACTCTGTTCACTCTTTGCATTGTCAGTCTGACAGCTGGGATGATCACATACGTGAGTTTCCTAATTACACACTTAATAATTATAAACTTTGGTTGGACTTGCTGTTTAAGTATAACATGACACCTTTACAGGTATATTGAAGATAATTACGGACATGTTCCTCCCTCATATTGGTTTGCCAGACTTGGAGGATGAATGCTTCTCCAAGATCTTACCAAAGGTATCCTGATAATTGCATAATATGTGAATACCATCTATGGCATTTGTTAAAAAAAGTAGATACAGTGCTCTTTTATTATCATATTGTTGATACAAGTAACTATTTTCTTTTGAATAACTGCTGTATTTCCATATTTTTTCCTTAAAAATGTATTTCTTTAATCTTTTTGAAAAAAAAAAAAACTCAAATGTTTTCAGGCTGTGACGATGTTTGACAGCATGATGAAAGAAATCATGGACCAAGTCGGTGGACTTTCAAGTCAAAACACTGAACTTTGTGCCTTACTGAGGAATATACTGCAGGTATTGCGACACAGTGCATTTCAAAATGGTACAGTGGAACCCATACAACTTTTTACATGCCGTATAATGTGCATTGCTCTAAATTTTCTCCCAAATTAAACCCTGGATTATATTGTGACAAGATTCTGTTTTCTTTTTCAGGCAATGATGCAGATAATTGATGCGCTATCCACTTGTGTGCGTCATGTTGGCTCTTTGGAGGAAGCCCCTGACCTGGATTCTATCCGCTCGCTACCAGCTTGTATCCTAAAAATTCTGAAAGAAACGTTTCAGCACTGCAAGGTCAGAATATTTAGTTTGCTGGTAGCTGTTATCTTTATAAATCAGGTGTTCTGTGAAGTCACTGCATGTGTTTTAGTTTTATAACATTAATATTAATAACCAAGCTGACTATGTTTTAGTGGCTGCTGAGAATGTACTAAGTGGTTAATTAGAGAAATGTTTATATTACAGTTATACACAGCTAAATGCTGACGCTAATCTGAGTAGTGCAATTAGGATTTTTAATATTTGTTTCAAACACAAAATCTGTCAAATTTAAGTGGTTGGAAATAATTCTACAGAACATTCTTAAGTTTTTCCTCATCTTGTTTACACCAAATGTGTCATCAGTGCAAGAAATTGACTGAAAACAGATTTGAAAAGCATCCCATCACACTGCAGCAAGAAATGTAACGCTTAGCAATGCAAAAGAACATAAAAGTAAGGCAAGGCAAGTTTATTTGTATAGCACAATTCAACAACAAGGTGATTCAAAGTGCTTTACAGAGACATTAGAAACAAAAACAAATAAAAAGCATGATTTAAAATTGATTAAAACGAGCAAACAAACTAACTAACGAATTAGCAAACAAACAAAACAGTATATAAAATCAAAACAGATAAAATCAGAACAGTAGATAAAATCAGTAGTTAAAATGTAAGTTTTGAAATTTAAGCTTATGTGTGCAGATTTGGTGCTTTATTCAAATGCAGCTGAGAACAGGTGAGTCTTCAACCTGGATTTAAATAAACTGAGTGTTTCAGCTGATCTGAGGCTTTCTGGGAGTTTGTTCCAGATATAAGGAGCATAAAAGCTGAATGCAGCTTCTCCGTGTCTGGTTCTGACTCTGGGAACTGATAAAAGACCAGATCCAGATGACCTGAGGGATCTGGAAGGTTCATACCGGGTCAGGAGGTCACTGATGTATTTTGGTCCTAAACCATTCAGAGCTTTATAGACCAGCATCAGAACTTTAAAGTCTATCCTCTGATGGACAGGCAGCCAGTGTAAAGACCTCAGAGCTAGTAGTTACAGTTAATTTTAAATTGATTTATACTCCTAAAGAGCTTTATCTGAAGAAAACAGAATTGATCAAGCATATTCTGTCTGTTGTCCACAGGACAGTGAGGTGGTCTACTGTGGCCGTCTGTCCCTTGTGGCTGACTTGCTGCAGGGATTATTCAAGGAGGCTTATTCGCTTCAAAAGGGTCTTTTAGAGCTGCTGGATAAGATCTGCCTTGACAACAGCGCCTCAGATGAGGACGTCTCTGATATTGTTACAGGTGTGTTCAGTTGTCTGTGCAGGTAAACATCACTATGTGTTTCATATTTTCTCACTTTCTGTGCTCTCGAATCTTAATGCAATCTTCAGTTCATTTGACATATTTTTCATCTTCCTCAGTGATTCATAGTCTGCTGGATATCTGCTCTGTTATCTCCAACCTGGATGTAGCGTTGCATGCAAACACGTGGAAGTTCCTCATCAAGTTAGTGCAATCAGTGTCATTAAACTTTACAGTTAACGTGATGAATTTTTAGTTTTAAGAGTTGGGCGAGTTTATTGGTTGTTATAAGTATTTGAACGGGCTGTTCTTTTGTTCAGAACGAGTCTGAAGTACCAGTCATTGGTTGAGGAGCATCTACATCACAGTGAAATCAGCAGCCGCCTTGTTGACAACCTGCTGACATCCTTCCACAACTCTGTGGAGCTGGCTGAACAGATTAAACATGCTGGCTTACAGGTAGAAAACCTCTAATTATAAACATATGTATATTGTAATTCTCTCTCTCTGTTTACCTCTAAAATAATGCAAAGATTGCAGCTCAGCATATTTGTGTCTTTAGTGACTTGATGCCAACTGGAGTCACAACAGTGACAGAGCGAATGCTGAGTGTTTCCTGTGCTGTAACCCTTTGTACTTACAGAAGGACTTCGGTTTCTTTATAAAAGTGTAGGGTCACCCCGGGGACCTTTTGTATTGATGCTGTTCTCTTTTTATAGGAGGCCACGCAAAGTCCAGAATACAAGCTGTTCCAAAAAAGTGCAAAGATGTGCAGATTTTTTGCCAACACTTTGATTCATTACATAAAGGTAGTTCAAATTATGATTTATTTCAGGTGTTTTTTACAGCATAAAAATGTTGGGCTGTCTTGTATCTTATCTCTAAAACACATTTCTTCTTTTTATCCTTTTAACAGGAGTTCAAATTTTTTCTAACAAAATCTTGTAGCTGCTTCCACCAGCTCTACCTCCAGATCACGAGGTATCGGTTGTTTACGTGTCATTTAAAAACTAAATGGATATAAATCACAGTTTTTAGTTTATGTTTAATACTGATTATAACAATGTGGCTGGTGTCTTTCAGTAAATTCCCTCCCAGCTTGTGCACTCCAGAACTGCCCATAGCTTTGTCTCAGGAGCTAAATGCAGCAGCTCTTGTTCCCATGGATGCCTTCCTGCTTCAGCTGTTGCCTTTAAGACCTTTTGCTGAAGCTGTCCTCCAGCAAGACCTGCGTAAGTGAAAGGTTTATCTTCTTGGACATTTTCGTGATACAGTAGTGACTTTTTAAACTCAACAATTACAGTTTGTGCACGAATGACATTCCACTGGCATATGACACATAGTACGCTGCTCAAAAAAGGTCGTAGGAACATTTTTTAATCACGTTATATTAAAGCTGGGCGATAGAACGATAACGATATGTATTGTGAAATAACTTTTTCTCGATAGAAAAATTAAACTATTGCGATCACCGCTCTTGTCTTCTTAAAAAAAAAAAGAACAGCCAATCCAAATTAAGTAGCGCAGAGCCGAACCAATCACAGCCGCAGCGTCACGTCACGTGACTTGTTACGTACAGCACAAGTGCCAAGCCGCACATGTGTATTTGTTTGGGAAGCAGCCAGCCGCCGTGCCGCCCGGGTAATGGAGGAAATGAGTGCGCCGACTAGAGAAAAATCAACCGAGAGCGTGACCGAAGGTTACCGAAGAGAAAACAGATGATGATGATGGTTCCAATGCCGGAGAGAGAAGTTCTGTAGTGTGAAGGTATTTCGGCTATTTCAAGTCTGACAAAAACAGAGTAGCGGCACTGTAAATGTGCCGAAAGCAAGTCTGGAAATACAATAAAGCGGTGCATGCTCAATCTCTGACTGGAAGCGCTAATTCGTCATTCAGCTTTTGTCAGACTAAAGTAACTGTTAACACTGTTTGAAAAGCTCAGCTATACAACAAGGAGAGATTGAGAATTTCCTTTTAGTTCTCAGTTTATTTGATATTGACAAAAGTTAGTCAATTTTGTCTGTTCTTCTGTAAAACAAACTAAGATTTATTTTTAGAATTAATATTTTGTTTCGAAGTGGAATTGACAATTTAGTCTGTTTTATTTGTTCTATTTTGAAACTTAAACGCTTTAGCGGCTGCCTTTTGTGTAGTTTGCAATATTTGCCTTTATTTATCTGAAAAAGTCTCATGTTCCTTAAGTAGATCTACCCTGTTGAACTTATTATGGGAAATAAATATTTAAATCAAAACAAGCTGCTGATTGTTTCACATTTTACTTGTGAGCAACGGCACATTTAAATCTTACAAATATAGTTATTTGGCTTATATCGTGATATATATCGTTATCGCCTGAAATGAAAAAACATATCGTGATATGAAAAAAGCTGTACGTTATACCATCAAGTCACTTAAATTTCTGTGATATTGATATGGTCAGTTAAGAAGTGGATTGTTGAATCAGTTTCAGCTGCTTTGTGCACAGAAACAGACTTGATGAGGGTGGCCCGAGGGCCCAATGTCACCACGGTTGCTTTCAAAACTTTAACTGAAAGCTGACCTTTGCTACATTTGTATGTTGTTGTGATGTCGCTATAATGTTTGTAAATGCTGACTGTTAGAGATTGTACAAAATACTGTCTGCAGGTTTAAGTTCTGAACATGAGCTTCCACACTGCCTGTTGCTGGTGAGCGTCATGGGACAGCTGGCCGGCCAACCTGAGGAGGTGCTGCAGCTTTGGTATGCAGGGAGTCAGTTTTCAGAAGAAAATATCAGGTAATAATGGTTTTAGATGATTTAATGAGCAGTAAAAATTTGAAAACACTTGTTTTATTAAAGGACTTATTAGTAAAATTTACTAGTTTTATGAGTTATTGATGTATTATTGACTTGTTTGGTTCACAAAGTTAATTGTACTTTTCATGTTTTCACAGTGCAGTTAAATGCAACTCAAGTGTAGCTGAATAATTATGAATATCAATTTAGCCTTTACGGTTTTACTATCAATTTATTTTTAATATGCAGTAATGTTATAATAATTACATCCCACATGGAGCAATCTCTTTTAAGCTGTTAGGAACAAGCGTATTAGTTAGCAGCCTTGGAAAAGGTTACATTCATGTGTGCTGAATTTAAAGTAGAAAATAGCTTCTTTTGTTGTGTAGTGTTTTTATGTCCTTCAGTGTGTCATCTTTGTCCCCAGGCTTCCTCTCTTCCAGGCCGTCTTCACTAGTTTCCGGCGTTGCTATACTGAGCGTAAGGTCCCGGTGCTGTTGCCTGGGGTGATGTTGAAGGGTCAGGCACAAGTCCAAGTCACTCTGCATCAACACATCTGTGTGCACCTCTGTGCCAGTGTGGCTTGGCTTCCACCTGAATACTTCCGTGTACTGGTGAGGTCAACACAACAACACACACTGTTTTAAGCAATACTAGCAGAATGGCTCTTACACTGTTCCCCTTAATGCATAAGGGACACTTTAAAACTGTTAATCTGATGTAATGTTTCATTCGTTGTAGACTGTGAATGTGAAGACCACGAGGTAGCATACAGTCATGGGAAAATAAATGACATTATTTGTTAATGATATGGTGTGACATATCAGGAAGTAATAATAA